GTGCCACCAGTCTCTTCAGAGTATTTCAAGAAGAGGACAATACTCTTGCAAGCAGCACTGTATCACAACCAGTCATGCTGGAAGACACCCAATTCGCCGGGCGTGCTGTTTGGCTCCCGCCCATGTTCTGTCTTGTATCCCCAGCATTTGTTCCATAAATTATGCACTCATTGTGCACATAATGCGCTCCTTGATCCTTAAGTGGCAAGGTTTTCATTGGCTCAGCAAGGCCTTAAGGAGGTGCAAGTTGGTTTCCTGCTCCTCTGAATCGGATTCTTACGGTATAAAAGCATCTTGTGGGAGCTCAGTGGGCCAACACGCCAATCATTTTGGTCAGTGAACAGCCTGGGGGTTGGCTGAAGTCACACAGTACATTTTGCATTTGGGACCAATTCCAAAACAAATTCGGACAGTGGCAACATTATGACTGGTGCTGATGTCCAAAAAATTGGGAATTTCACCTTGAACGAATACCAAGTGCTCTGATTCAACCATGTACATCACAAAGCCTGTCTCTTTTTACAGAGCAGGAAAAGAAGCGACGGGCCAAACATTCAGAGAGAAGGAAAACATTTCCAGAGATGATGGGTAGAGTTAAGCAGTGTATCAAGCTCACCATATTCCCATGAGTTCAAGTTTCTGCTAACAGATAGGAAAGGGGGAAATGGCTTTTGGGGACAGATGTGAGGCACGGGAGTGGTCTCCATGTCTCCATCAGGCTTTTGTTCTCTTCCACACCACAAAAAGAAAGCTGGATCCTAAATAACTTGTCCCATGTACACAATGCAGCTATCATCTGAATAAAATGCAGATTTGCAATTTCAGGGAAGAATCTGACCGTGGCTGCCTGGTATTTCTCTCCTTTAAACCCCGTTCTCTGGAATGAGAAGTTTTTTTCTTCCATTTGCCCAGCAGCAAGATCCCAATTTGGCCACAGCTTATCAAGGCATCGGAAGGCACAAGGTCAATGCACTGAAAAGGCAAAGAAGTACAGTTCCTGGCCCAAAGGAGCAACACTGGTTATGGCTAATACAAAAGTGCCCTAGTCCTTTGGACAACTATCCATATTTCTACAATTAAAAACGGAGAATATCCAGGAATGATAAACTCTGAGAAACTTTACATCAAAATGGACCTCCTTCCACAAAAAAGGAATCTCGATGCATCTAGAGAAAGAAGAAACTAGGCCTCATTAAAGAAACAAGATTTGAGAATGTACAGAAAGTAACTTAAAGATAATTTAGATGGCTCCTTTTCCTTGCTGTTTGCTTTGCTTTTTAATGGTGCCTAACACAGCACTGTTTGGCAGTAATTGGTACAAAGGCTTCTAAATCACGCAGCGTATCTACTTCAGCTACTTGTACAATGTGGATATCTGATGATAACGTACCTTGTTAGGTAAGCTATTAAAATACTGCACCTTGGATTGGTATTACTGCTAGTCGCAGAAATTTGAGGCTGAGATAGTGGACAGCGGACAGCTTATCACTCATACTTCTTTTAAAAATGTACTAAAATACCAGCAAGTTAGAAAGTCACGTGAGGAGTGAGAGTTGAGAGAAACCAAACTGGCAGGTTCAGAAGACTAGCAGACTCGGCTGCGTCGAGGAAATGGGATGGAGATGGGGAGTGTGGGATTGGAAGGGGTTTGTTGTCTCTGCAGATTGGAACCTGCTCTGAGAGAGGCAGGCGGCTGGGCCTCGTCTCCCATTCCCACATCACAGGACTGGGTGCAGTTCGTGAAGCATCGACTGCAGAAGTGTCAAGCCAACCAGGTGTGTGGCAGGGAGCCAGGTTTGGAAGCCTTCTGGGTTCGTTCTTCTGGGTTTCTAAAAAAGGCCAGGGCGGCCGCCACTGCATCAGTCTCCCCATTTCTCATGGCTCCTTTGCACTGCCTTCCATGGGCATGACTGAGGTTCCATCATCAGGGATGGGAGAAAAACCATGGGGATGGGGGCAACAAGAAGAAATAGGCCACTGGGAAAGCGTTCAGCATATCCTCTCTGCCTCCCTCCCTCCCTCCCTCCCTCCACCTGATACCTTTTAGAGCAGGGTTGGGCAACTTGTAACCTCCCAGATCTTCTGGCCCACAATTCTCACCATCCCTGAGCAACATAGCCCTCCCTGAAGGATCATGGGAGTGGGAGGCCAGAACATCCGGCAGCCCAGTTGCCAAAACCTGCTTCAGATGTTTGGCAGAGGCCTGGTTCTGCTTGGCACACCTTGTTTGCCCCATAGCGACGGTGAACACGGGCTGAATTGTCACCAGCTCCCCGTAGGCCAGAGCCTCTGCATGAGCGTGGCCACAGCTCTTTGCATCTTGGCCCCACCAATGCGCTCTTTTTACGTTGCTTGTAGGCCAAGCCCAGCGCCTGGGGGATCCTGCAGGATGGATCGGGAAGTCAGGTGGATCGGATTAGTTACAGGGTCAGGTTTCCACCCCCTTAGCCCAGGAATGCCTTCCCTTATTGATTTTGCTGGTTTTTCCAAGCAGACTGTGCCTGCTTAAGCAAGCCGAGTTGGCACGTGTGACCAAGGCAAAACAACTTGACTGCAGGACCAAGTGTGGTTCTGGCAGAACACTGCCGGTTGTTCTTGAGACGTGGGATACGTTGTTTGAACCCAGCCATGCTAAGAAACCATGGTTGGTTAACCACAAACAACCGATGGAAAGAACCAGCGGCTTCTTTCTGCATTGAGCATGGCGGGTTGTTTGTGGTCAATCATGGGGGATCAAGTAATCTCCGCTTCCGATTTCTGTTTTCTCGGAGCGTGCCGTGCAGCCCTGCGTCATGCCTTCCCATATCCAGTGAATTCTTTGCATCAGCACTTTTCTTTTTGTAGTTGCTGCTTTTAAATGCCTTGCTATTTATACGTGGCGATGGTGGCGGGGGATTCCCACTGCTTATACCTTCCAAGAACAAATCAGGGTGCAGAAGGAATGCTGGAGGAGCAGGCAGTGACACACATGGTGGCCTCGGATTCTTTTGCAGTGCCTGCAGTGCAACGATGCACCAAACGCTTCTGCACACAAGTTACATTGCAGCCATTCCTGCCTCCCTTTCTCCATCTGAGCCACATTCCTTGATCCAACCCAGATTTCAAGCCCACGCCAGAGTTTTTGGCTGACTCTAGATCCACCAAAACATTTCCCAAGCATTCAGTGCCTCTCTATGGTCAGGGTGTGGCTTCATTTTTAAGGCTTCTGTTGTATGTTATTTCTCCAAAAAGGTTTGGTTTGCTTTGCTCTTAATCAAGCTCCCACCAATCTGTGTCTTATTGCTTGGTCTCCAGAAGGGGCCTAAGACTGCCTCTGTGTGCATCTGACTGCGTACAAAGCTTGCGCCCTGCTATGGAGCTGCTGCCTGCATCCACTGGGGCTGAAGGGTGCAGAGAGAGTGGGTTGCATCCTCAAAGGCAACTCCATTGTCCTATGCTACTCTTCCAAACGAAGCTGCAGGTGGGACTTCCCGCCCCTTCCAAACCTAGCCATGGCAAGCCCCTCTGCATCACAACAGGGAAGAATCCATTTTTGCTGGAAATGTTTTTCCCCCTGTAAGCTCAGAGGAGGCTGGGCATCCTTGCTAATTACAAAGCAACCCTGGCTCTGCTCGGAATGGCTGCCCCAGGCAGGATGCGCAGTGCCAGGCTGGAGAGCTCAAAGATCAGGTACAAGCAGCTTCCTCTGCTTGCCTACACCTGTTACCCACAAGCAGCAGTGGAGGAAGCCTTTGCCACTTGGATCTGGCCCTCATGTCAATCAGCCCTCCGTTACTGTTGTCTTTCGAATGGCCCGGATGGCCACTGGGAAAGACAGCATCAGATAAGGGAAGGGTCAACTCCTTGTTCCGTTTGCACCCCAGTGCAAATTTCCTTACATTTGCGATTTCCAAGCAATACACGAATGGGAACTGCACGCCTCTGAATTCTGCCATCAGAACGGGCATACAGAAATGAATATATTTGTGAAAATAACATCCAGGCAGCATTATGCTAGGAAAACTGCTTGCCAAAAAGCTGGCAATGCTGGGGACAAATACGCATGGGTGAGGAAAAAGGCATGCAGAAATGTGGCAAGATTTCATATATACTTGAAAAACAAAGTACCTCAAATCTTTTGAAAGTGGAAAAACGCTCAATTCTCAGTATGAGCCAAACTTAAGATGGGAATATTCAGAAACAGAGCGAAACCAAAGTGGACGGATAAACCGTCCCTAATTCGGAAATATAGATGCTTTCTAACATTCAGCATTGCACTTGAAGCTTGGCTATTCTATGCTCAAGAAGGTTGTTATCTGGATTCTTTTGGGTCTGGATTCTCATCACGGTTTTTGCACCCCCCCCCCCCCATTTCACAACACACGTCGCCTCCCCCCCACCCCCATGGCAACGTAATGGCCATTCCGTTTCAAAGTGAGTGGCATGCAGTGGAGACGCATGCTTCCAAGGCAGGCATGCTACTACGACGCTGACAAGCTAAATAAGAACCAACCCAAAGGAAGAAGGTGGGGGAGAATTAGAAAGAGAAATGAAACATTAGCTCATTAAGGATATATAAAGGAATGATGCAAAAGCTCACTCTCGGAGCAGCACTAACACTGACTGATTACAAACTAAATTGTGCTATATATCGTGTGTGTGTGTTTATATATGTGTGTGTGTATATAAAAAGAACATCATTTAGTAAGAATGGCACTGGTTCAAAGGAATTGGGACATCGATCTCCGTTCCTTTTAGTCCACAGTGAAAGTGTAGAAATACCGGCGTGCCTGGTTGCCTGGCAACTTGTGACATTTGTCGGTCGGTTCATCCGTGTCCCCCCACCTCCCCCTGCATGCGCCCACGTACGTTCTCTGCTTCCCTTTTGAGCATCCTCCCGGCTGGAAGCAAACAGAGAAGGGTTTGAAACGCTGGTGCAGCGGCAGCCTCGGCCAAACCGGGTCCATCTCGGGGTGTGTTGCGGGGGGGCACCCAGAATCCGAGCTTTTCTCTTGCCTCCTGGTCGCGCATTTGGAAGTTTCCTCTGCAAAATTTCCAAGGAAAACCCCCCACCATCCTCCTTTAAGGATCCTCTTCTCCCATTGAAACCATAAGGCGCATGGCAACAGGCAGGTGATCGGTCAGTCCCGCCAGCTGGGTGATAAAACTGAACTCTTCCACTTCCTGCAGAAGAATGCAAAACAGCGCTTTGAAAGACCAAGTACGGGCTCCTCATGCTCGCACTGCATTCATATCCCGGATTTCTTTAATGCTCGCCACAGCAGAGGGCTGCAATTCTTAATGCTCTCTGGTGCTTTCCTGACTTTTGGGGCACATTTCCACATCTGGAAAAGTCGAAATGGCTTGTGCAGAAGCGGGAATGGCAGGAAAGGTTCTCCAAAGTGTGGCCCTCGAGCTCAAAGAGGTTCTTCCTGTGCTATAGGACAAGCGTGGGCGGCCAGGAGATGGCCATCGATCGGTGGATCTCTTGGGTGACCTGCAAAGATTTCTGCCCCTGAATCATTCAGGAATAGCCACAACCAAGAGCTGTGTTTTTCTATTCAATTAGACTGCTAAGATTTAAAAGGTCTGGGGGGGAACTGGAGCCATTTACTGGCTAAGAAGCTTCTGTGTATGGGCTGGAGCACCTGCGATGGCCCAGCCCCAATTCCCAGTCAGACTGTCCAGACACGTCCGGCTTTTGCACGCCTTTCACCATTCCAGAAAGGTGGAAAGGCCTTTCCCAAGACTTGAAGCTACAATCCGACGCCCACGTGGGTCCTGCTTCTTTTGCCTCCAGCCTACCCGGCAGACGCGAGGCCTCCCGATCTCGAACCACCCGAGATGTGGCTGCCGCTAGTTTCCCTGGAAAGAGGCCTGGCTCCTCCACCCGATATGCATACGGAACCCCCCTGCCCCGCTCGGCACACGCCCTGCGAATGAGGCAGCTCACCACTTTCCACTCCAGGCAGAGTCCTTCTTCTGTGGAAAGCATGTAGTCAATCCGCCTCCCGTTGCCCTTCAGCACGCCTTTCCTCCCCTTCTGGCTGGAGGCGTGGGTCTTGCTGGCGGGAAACACAAGGTACGCCTTCCGCCCTTCCTCGCTCTCCATCGTCCTGGTTCACAAACCAGACACGGGTCACTGGAGCCCCTTTCCAGTTGTTGATGTTGCTTACCTCTTTTGTATCCGGCCTCCCCACACCCCCTGCAAGGACCCGGGGTGGCCTACATGGCTCTCCTTCCATTCTATTGCCACAACGACCCTGTGAGGTAGACCAGGCTGAGAGTCAGCGGCTGGCCCAAAGCCACCAGTGGGCCTTGTGGCCGAGTGAGGACTAAACTCTGGGTTTCCCACCCCTACAACAGGCCAGAGCGGCACACCGGCTCTTCAGAGGAGATGGTTCACAAAAGTGACAGAGGGTGGGCACCCTGCGCCCAAGGAAGCCAAGTGCCGCTCCAGTCCACTGTCGGGCCTCCCAGAACGAGTGCCTGCTTGCCAGGTGAAGACTGTAACTTAACTTATTCCTCACGCGGCAAAGTGAGCACCACTTGGGCTCTGCTCCGCGCAAAGTGAGGAGATGGAGGGCACAGCATCTGCCCTGCCTTTCACTCTCCTGCCCCGCGCTCTGCTTCCCCCCACGACTTTGGCTGGGGCAGCCGATTCCACTCATCAGGGCTGCCAAGCGGCTGATCACCCCACACAATCTACACGCTACAGGCTCTGAATCACGCGTGACCTCCTCCGCTCGGCCTGGTCCTGCAAAGCGGCTGAGCCAAGAGGCGTCCGCGAGCGTCCGCAGAACCCTGGCTGTGCCAGAGGCAACTTTCCCCATCAGGCGCGGCTGCAGGAGGTGAAGGGGGGTGAGAGTCTTCGGACTAGTACAGCGGAATATACGTTGAATACATAAGTAAGAGGGCCGCTACAGGTGGGGCCAGCCTCCTCCTCCCCTCGCCGCTGCTGCCGGTGCAGGGGGAAACGCGGCCCAGCATGCCAGACGCTCTTCCGGTGCCCAGCCTTCTTTCCCACTTGCTGCTGCCAGCATCAGTGGCGGGCATGGAAGGGTGGCTCTGTTTGCACCGCACATGAGGATCGATGCCTGGTGAGCACCCCATGAATGCTGCGTGTGTTTGCCAGGAGCTCGGACCTTGCAGCGGCCCAGAGTCTGGAGAGCCCAGGCCATGGCACCTGGTGCCATGTATCATGTATTGTATCCCACACAGTACGGACACCTCATACATCCCAAGATGCTAGTGCGCACCTGCTTGCTTCTCTGCACCTACAGTGCACAAGCAGTGGTGTTGCGTATGCAGGGCTCACGGGGTCCAAGCAGCAGGACTCTGTGATGAGAAGGATGTTTACGCCATGCCTCAAATTTCCCTTTCCCCACAGAAGCTGGGGTGGTGGAATGGATTTTATCAGCGGCCATGCATCATGTGAAAGAGCAGTAGCACTTCAGATTTGACCTCTGTGCATGCAGGGGACATGGGAGCAGGGTTGCTGTTGCTGAGCTAACAGACGTGCAAGTTTACCCAGAAGCAAGTCCAGCTGGGTACACTGCAGCTTATTCCCAAACAAATCTACACAGGACTGAAGATATTAATTTGTTAATTAAGAACAATGGGCGAGTTCTTCAAATGGGACCTTGGAGCCCAGGAATATTACTTGGAATTTTTGAACACAGCACTGATGGTTGCTCCAAAATTTAGAATTGAGAGAAGGAGAGAGAGATTCCATAAAAAGGAAGAACCACGGCACTTGAAGTTTGATGGCTCCTTATCAGGAAAATTAGAAATACATGCTCATAATTGCTGTGATTGATTCCTCCTACCCAGACTTTATCAGTCTTTAAAATGTAACACCCGGTTTTAACATGTTCTGAAGTCTTGCCTTATCTCTAGAGACCTAATGAATTAATACATGTTTGCTGCTTCTGATTAATTCCATATTAAGGAATCGATAGTTATCAATTATTTCCAGATGGGCACTTTTAATTATGAAGAGGGTGGTTTGCGTTTGCTCAAAATTGAGACGGTGCTCTAATTAATAGTCTTCAATAGCCCAACTGATGGACCATTTCTCAGCCTGCTTGAGGAAACAACAGTTGAAATGTTCATTTTCCAATTTAACAAAGAGCTTTGGCTCAGATGGAGTTGACCTCTCTGGAAACACCAGCAGATTATCTCCACTTCATAACAGCAAATTAAATAAGAAGCCAGGAAAAGTGCTGAGGCGTGCTTAATACGTTTTGCAATGTATTCATTCAAAAGATGGCCACATTTTACAGCTGGTGAGGAGAAACATCTCCAGATGTCTTGACTTCATCTCCCGGTATTCCTCACCAAAGGCTTTGCTGACAGGGGCTTCTGGGAGTTGAAGTCCTAACAATTCCTTACCTCTACCCACTCCTGCCTGCCTTACTCGAAGTGGCCTTGGGGAATCCCTTTCCATGTTGACTTCCCAACCAAGGAACCCTGGCGTGCTGCAGTCATTGTCCGAGAGCCACATGCACTGTTCAGGGGGGTACTGGCCAGCCCTGGTAAGCTTTTGCTTGGCCTTATGGGAGCAGAGACCGTGTCCTACAGGGCCAGGTCTACCATAAAGCAGAATAAGATGATGGCCTCATGTGGCAGTTACTTGTGGGCGGCAGTTACACAACCTGTCCCCCCCCCCCCATATTAGCCTTAGGTGCTGTGGAGGATGGAGGATGTTACCCCGTCACAACTGTGGAAGTAAGATCCACCTGGCAGTCCAGTCAGCTTCCTGACATGGTGGGTAGGTGAGGGCTGCCATCCTGCCCTTTGCCTCAGGGAGCAAAATGTCTCAGGTCACTAACACGCCTAATATTGTACTGCAGCTGCTCTTCTCGACATTGGCTGCAAACGGTGGTTTTCCGGGCCAAGGTGAAAGCTGGCATTGGGCCAGAAGATTTTCTCTCCCTCCATAGCAGGAGAAAATGAAGAGCAGCAAGTCTGGAGGTGGGCGCAGCCGATGGCTCATAGCCTGCATCTCCTTCAGCAACTCCTTTGGTTTCACGGGTACAGGATGCCTCTTTGGTAAGGGACTGCCTGTTTTGGCTAGTTACTGGCCATGCAATAGAAGCAGCAGGAGGAAGTTATTACACAGATAAATGTTGTCCTGGAACAGGCTTTAATACCACGGATACGGAAGCTGCTGAAATGATTTACCTGCTTCGTGGCAATTAACAAATGGAAGGGGAATTGAATTCTCTTCTTTGTTCCCTTTTCCCAGCTAAAAATAATACTACAAAATTGGAAACAAACACTTGCCTGATCTAATGCAAGTTCTAACATCACTTTGGCTCCATGAGTTAGTAGCACAGAGATACCACCTTCAAATCCATATGCACTGGGCTATTTGATCCATTTTTGTTGAACCCCATGAATGATGCCTAGAAGGTGTATGCATCTCATGGGAATCCTTGTACATATATTCTTTAAAATGGGGAAACTTTTCAAATGGGCATCATGTTGGAGACCCCATTGGAAATGCTGTTTGAGGTGGCTGCAAACCCTACTTTAGAATTGTTTTTGACCTGTGACTGGTTTGGAGATTATCATAGCACTAAGAGTGGGCCAATGCCGTGCGTTCTTTTCTACTAAATTGAATGAGCACGGCAAAAAGATGTTGAAGGAGGTGTGGGTATGGCACTGTTCTGACCCGTGATAATACTTGAGTGATAGAAGAATCGATGGAGGGGGCTCTTTTGCATAAAGGCAGGGTGTTGAGTGAAAAAGACCAGTAGCAAATCCATTCTAGACTTGTAAGTGTCTTAATTAAATGGTTCTTTCATCTTCACCCTAACAGTAGCCTATTAATCAAAGCATAGGTGGAAGCACATTGTAACTAAGCAGCAACAACATGTATCGATCTTTTTAATAAGGAAACGGGTCCATGCAGTCATTCTCATTGATGTATTTAATACTGTGGTCTCTTTAACTTTATTAATAGGTTCCCAGAGGTTGGTGCTGGAAATCTAATGGAAGTCTAATTTATCGGGCTCGTTCCAGAACTATTGATGCCAATATAGACAGCATGATAAATTAGTTTTTAAATCTTAGCAAAATTTTATTATTGGAGGGTTCTGTACCGATCTATTTTAAGCCTAATCTAGTTTGTCAATGACATTAGAAATTTCATACAGGTACCTGCGTATGCTTTGCTTATTTTTTAAAGAAGTCAGTAGAGTTTTGAAGCTTCTAGGCAACGTATCAGTTCTGAGCAGACATTTTAAATGCCAATTGAATGAAGTGTCCTTGTAAGATGGAGATAAACTACCCTTTGAAAAATGTAAGGAAAAAAAGTAAATGCCACAGGGCACAAAGATTTATGTGTTTACCTCTGAGCCTTTTGGAGTACTTCTATTTTCCAACATTTAAAAAAATACAATTTTTGTAGACGTCTACTCAGAAGTAAGCCCCACTGAACTGAGGTGGGAGTTCCAGTGACTCCCAGGAAAGTCTCAGAGGATTGCATAATATTATTGTGTAAAACTTGGCTCACACAATGACACAATGTATATATTCTACATGATGTGGAGGAAAAGAAGTGAGTTCTGGGTTTCGTGCTTACCTCTCGCTCCTATAGAATGTCAGCCTTCTCCAACCTGATACTGTGCAGAAGTGTTAGACTACAATTCCCAGCATCCCCCATTAGCATGTGCTGGCTGCAGGATGGATAGAGTTGCAGCAACACAGAGCGCACCAGTCTGAGAAAGGTCGGAACATGGCTGCAAAGCCCCAAATATTACAAAGTGCTCACAAACTCAGGACCAGGGTCCCTACTCCTGTGTCCAACCAGTTAACCAGTGACATTTTCAGAGAGGTTTTCTTCTTGGAAACATCCTTGCTCTCTATTTCCTGAGCTGTATATGAAAGATATCACCACCCAGTTTTGTCACTATTTATTGCTAAACAGATTTTAGAGTAATTATTTTACTGTGAGTGTGTTAGGTTTATATCCCACCTTTTCCTTTTTTAAAGAACTCAGCGCTGCTTACATCATAAATCTCTTCCTTCTCTCATTTCATGGGAACCACTTAGAGATTGTTTAAAAATATTAAGCTATATAGAAGTATTTTGATCGATCAATCAATCAATAGCTTTCGTATAGCTTGAAGGGCCTGATCTTGTCTGATCTTGGAAACTAAGCAAGGTCAGGCCTAATCGAAATCTGGATGGGTGACTTAAATGTTGTGAACTGCCCAGAGAGCTTTGGCTATGGGTTATATAGAAATGCAATAATCAGTCGATCAATCAATGTCTCTTTCATCTTCTACTCTTTCAGTGGCAGCTCCAGACTGCCAACGCTTCCTTTATTCAGTCTTGACATGGGTTAACAGTTTGGTTCCATTTGGTGAATGGATTTCACCAAACCAAACCAAACCCGCACCAAACCTTCCAAAGAATTCTCCTTCCCACACAGCAATTCACCACTGCCAAAAGGAGTGTGATTGTGGCAGGGCTGAGGATGCCCTTTTCCTGCCGGCCTTGTCCCGACTTCAGCTCTAATTGCAGCAGTCAGTATTCCGTAGTGAATTCCCTATGTGAAAATTGTAGCATTTATATTGATCAGACAAATAACCAAGAAAGCGAGATAATACGTACTTCTGTAGGTTATCTGGAGTGCATACTTCTTCATCGTATAATCCTTCTGGGTCTAGCAAAGTTCCTGTGAAAACAGAGGGACACGTTGTCAGCTGCAGCCTTCTTCAGTTTAAGAATGGATTCGATGCTAAGCTGCACTTGTCCTGAAGCTCAGGCTTAGGGTTAGGCTTGGGCTCCCAAGCTGGCCACACCCCAATTCCTGGCTTCCCCGAGTGCTGATGGCCGATTTTTCCTGCTTTGGCCCAGTTCTTTCCTCAATCTAAATGAAAATGCCTTCCCGAAAGCTTAGATTATTTATTTATTTAAAGCTTTAAAAAACTTAATTCAACAAAAATGCTCTCTGTACAGTGTAGAACAAGGATAAAAACCATATAAAAACATGGCATAATATAAATAACTCTGATGCCACTAAGTCATCAACAAGGTCTATCAAAATTCAAGCAACATGAACAACAATTAACGAATAAATAGTCATAATAAGTGCTTGCTTGCTAGTTGCGAAGTCGCATCCAACCCATCACGATCCCATGGACAACACTCCTCCAGGCATAATAATAAGGTAAAAAGGTAAAGGTTTCCCCATGGCATTAAAGTCCAGTCATGCCTGACTATAGGGGGCGATGCTCATCTCCGTTTCCTGGCCGAGGGAGCCAGCGCTTGTCCACAGACAGTCTCCGTGGTTGTGTGGCCGGCATGACTAAACACCGAAGTGCACGGAATGCTGTTACCTGCCCACCGAAGTGGTACCTTTTTATCTACTTGCGTTTGCATGCTTTTGAGCTGCAAGGTTGGCAGGAGCAAATCAACGAGAGCTCACCCCATGTGCGGATTGGAACTGTCGACCTTTCAATCAACTAGCCCAAAATGATGGTAAATCCACAGTAATACCAATGACAATATGAATAAAAACCAGTGTAAAATCAAATAAAATTCTATTTTAAGTTAAAACATCTGGAAAATGAAAGGGATTTGACCTGGTGCTGAAAGGTATAAAGGGTTGGTACCAGGTGCAGCTTCCAGGAGAGCTGATTCCACAATCAGGGTGCCACAACCAAGAAGGCCCTTCCCCTCATGGGGACTTCCTTGCTTCTTTTAAAGGTGGCTCCTGCAGAAGGACCTCCAAAGATAATCTTAGGTTCCAGGTCAGTGTATATGGGAGGAGATGTTCCTTTAGATATCCAGGCCCTAAGCTGTTCAGGGCTTTCTTTATATGTCAGAGTAAGCGCCTTAAAGTGGCCCTGGGTTTCAGCTGGTAACCAACGGAGATGATACTGATTATGTTACTGGCAGTAAGGATTTAAGCTAAAAGAGACTGCTATTTTGGAAATTCTGGCCTCGCTCCTTTTATGTGAAAACGTCTAAAAAAGGTTCGGCATCCCTGCTACACCGCATCGCGCTGCTTACTTCTTTCAGTGATAAGGGAGCTTTTGAACAGAGATTAAGGAGAATCATGTTTGTTCCAGAAAAAAATCCAAGCTAATTTTAAACAACAGAGCCTAATTTGCATTTCCTGGGCTAATAAGCAGATCGGAACACCCTTGTCTATCACATTGCACATATCTGCACATTTTTCAGTCCTGTTCTCCATTCAGACACTGTGCAATACTTGTGTATGCTAAGCATTGTTGTACACCAAAACACTTATTTTAGGGGAAGTTGTTTACAAATTGTGTAGGTTAGGGGGAGTTGTATATATAAATCAAATCTTCATGCTTGTTTGAAAGACTGCAGGCTGATCAGAGAGTAGAAGGAATGGCCATGATTGTATATATTCAAAACAGACGCAGACCAGAAATAGATTTTTCCCTACGGAAGGCACGTATTTCCACAGTGGGAAGAACCTAAGGGTTATCCGGGATGATTAGCGCTTGCTGGTTTTATCATCTTGATTGCCCTACTTTTCTGATCTTAGATTGCCTGTATTTTTTTAAACTGCATTGTTTTATTATGTTATTTTAAATTGAATGGTACAAGTCACTTTGTGTGCTAACATTGAATTTTAAAAAAAGTAATATAAGATTATTTTAAATAAGGTGCCTAAAAGCTGGACCCTGGGCAAGTTTGAGTACTGTAGTTGTGCTGCTCTGGACAGTGAGGGCTCTCCAAGACCCAGCGTGGCTTCCCTTGTTCAGGCTGGCCGTTGGCTTTGCTCAGTAGCAAGGCCAATAAAAACCTTGCTCAGGTGAGACTTTGCCTAGGCAGCGATAGCCATTCCTGCCTCTCGGCCTTGTTCCACCCCTTCCTGTGTCCTCCCATTTCCCTAAGCTCGTATCTGTGTGAGCGACATACAAGTGAAAATCTGAACATACAGAACTTCCAGGTGTTGGTAGAAAAGTATCCAGAGGTGTACAAAGGGAAGGCAGCTCACAGAAGACCTCTGAACAAATGGGGAAGAAAGTCATTCTATTTGCACTTCAGTGTGAACTTACCCAACTTTGCACAGTTCAACTGCAGTGCAAAATAAAATTCAGTAATCAGTACTCATTTGGAATTCACATTTTTTTGAAATGGTGTTCTGCCATCAAAACCAGTGTAGGAAGATGTGTATCTTAAGGAACATATTGTTCCAAAAATTTGTGTATCAGACAAAAATATATGCAAAAATACTTGAATTAGGAGCAATGTGCACAAAAGGGCTTGTGAATTTGTGTGTCATTTTTTTTAAAAAGCCTCAGAGTTCAAGACTGGAGAACTTTTCAAGGTTCAAGATGAACCAAGCTGAAGATTGAAAGCATGAGAAAGCTACACTGGCAGAGTCCTTCATACCATCCTGATAAAGGTACTTGGGAAATCTCCTCTTAATCGCATATTAATCTCCAGAAACCTTCCCAATGGCTTGCATGCAGTCTGGTTGTTCTGTGCTGGCAGAAAATTAAAATCAGAGCAGAGGAGGAATGTGGGGAGGGACAGCCTTCCTCCAAAGGGTTACTCCGCACAGCGAGAGATCCTCTCCTGCTTCCATGCCAAATCTCCTCTCAGCATGCCAGGCCCAGTTTAAAAGTCACCACAGTGGGGTGGGAATGCCAGTCCCAGTTTTTCTGTACGCAAACCACAGTGATAGGCTTATAGATGCCCCCGCCTCGTCTCCTCTTGCAAGCAACCTAGTGAAGCTTCCACGTTTCCCCTCCTCTCCATTTTATCCTCACAACAGCCCAGTGGGGTAGGCCAGACTGAGAGTCAGTGATGGGCCCAAAGTCACCCAGACTGCTTCACAACCAAGCAGGTACCATAACCCAGGTCTGCTGAGTCCCTGTCCATGCCTTGAACCACCTTGCATTATTCCTGCTGTATTGTCATGTGCCAAAAGGAGGACGAAATGGGACATGAGTGTGTATGACGTCTGCACATGCTAATCTACACAAATGGTGTGAGTTTAGACGTTGCTCTACTTTAAATAAAAGTAGAATGCTGGAACGGGGTGGGCCTGCCCCCTGCCCAGACTCTTGGCCAGGCGCTTCCCAGCGACGCGCTCCCAGCCTTCCTGTGGGTCTGGATCATTAAGCGAGGCTTGGACGGGAGAGCCTTCAAACAGAGGGCAACCACAGGGAGGCAGCTGTCCCCTGGCACAGAGGACTGTCCTCCGCAGAGCAGGACCCAGGGCTACCCTGCAGCAGTGTGCGGGAAAGAGCAGGGCTGAAGCCAGTTGTCTGCCCCGGTTGTGCCGTCTTTCCACGGGACTGAGGATGTGGTTGAACGCCACCTGAAGATCAGACGCGCGGAGCAGGCTGCCCTGTCAGCACTTGCCCCACCCAACAAGCGCACGGTGGAGAGCGGAGCAGGGAGGAGGCACCAAAGTGGGGTGAAATGAAATCACGGGCTTGTGGGGTGCGGTGCCAGCAGTTCTTTGTGGTGACACAGCCTCCCACCCTTGCCAGAATCCCCTCCTCCCTGAGCTCGCCAGAACAGCTGGGGAGATGCATCCCCACCGAGAATTTGCCCTTGTTGTGAGACCAAACGCTGGATGGAACCTGGTCTTGAACAGGCGGCTAAGAACCGTTTCCTTTGGTAGAAGACCTGCACCCGGGGGAGTTGGAAACTGCTAGGGGGGATTTGTAAATAAGGATCTGGCCAAATTCTAGGACTCCCACTGGCTTTGGGGAGAGTTGTGAGGCCAGCCTGCCCATTGGCACAGGCAGCCCAGGTTTTGCGGCTTGCCTTGTGAAGGTTTTTCCCGCCCCGGGCCAAGTCCTGCTCTGGATACGTGTGCGGCCACGAGGCTGGAGGTTAGTGGAGCTCTTTGGGGTTAATGCTCTGGGACTTCCTGATTATCAGGCACGGTAAGATCTCCTGCTGCCCTCTTAAGGTCCCTCTCCCTCCATGCTTAGCTACAGCCCTTTTAGTCGGTTGGGGAGAGATGGGCCATTTACCTCTGCGCCATGGCAGCCATGCCATGGAGTTCCGCAGGGGTCCATTTTGTCCCCCTTGCTATTCAACATCTACATGAAACCGCTGGGAGAGGTCATCCGGAGGTGTGGGCTGCGGAATCATCAGTATGCTGATGACACCCAGCTCTACCTCTCTTTTTCAACCGATCCAGGTGAGACAGTGGCTGTCCTGAACCGGTGCCTGGCTGAGGTAATGGGCTGGATGAGGGCCAACAAACTGAAGCTCAGTCCAGACAAGATGGAGGTCCTGTTGGTGGGTGGCTCAGGCTCCGGTGTAGGTGACTTGGCCCTTGTCCTGAATGGGGTTGCACTCCCTCTAAAGACAGGGTCCGCAGCTTGGGAGTGCTCCTCGACCCAGAGCTGTCCCTGGAAGCTCAGGTGACTGCGGTGGCGAGGAGTGCTTTCCATCAGCTTTGGTTAATCCGTCAGCTGCATGGAGGAAGATTGTCTAGCAACAGTGACACATGCATTGGTTACTTCCCGATTGGATTACTGTAACACACTCTACGTGGGGCTGCCCTTGAAGACAGTCCGGATTCTTCAGATGGTGCAAAACAGAGCAGCCAGGTTGCTGACGGGGACTGGGCGTTACTCTCACTGTCCTCTACCAGCTTCACTGGCTCCCCATCGAAGTGTGGGCTCAATTCAAGGTGCTGGTTATCACCTATAAAGCCCTTAATGGCTTGGGACCTGGATACTTGAAGGAACGCCTGCTTCCATATTTGCCCTCCCACCCCTTGAGATCAGCAGCAGAGGCCCTCCTCCGGGAGAGACATCAGGAAGCAAAGTACCCAGAGGAGGGCTTTCTCTGCGGTGGTGCCCCATCTGTGGAATGCCCTTCCCAGAGAGGTCCGCTTAGAGCCGTCGTTATTTGTTTTTCGGCACCAGGCTAAGACCTTTTTATTCAAACAATATTTTAACAACATATAATATTTATAGGTTTTAATTGTGCAGCCAGGGTGTTTCCGGGTTTGTATTATATTTATTTATTTGTGTGAGCCGAGGCTATATAGCAAGAGGACGGCATACAACAACTTTAAATAATAAATAAATAACTGGGTCTTCCATGGGTTTTGGTTGCAGGGCAAGGTGCCTGAGGACGGCGTGGCCAGACACATTTCCTTTACTAAAGACCTGCTTTTGGTGGGGATAGACTGCACGCATGCAGCCCCCTGAAAATCTGGACTCTGCTCCGGGATGTGGCCAAGAGGAGTGCTGTGAACGGCTCCTCGGTCCCAGTTGGCCACTACCCCCCGTCAAGCAGGTCTCTGGGTAAGGGGACCTCCAGGGGGGCCACTCCTGCAGATCCAATCCCAGGTTGGTTTATAAAGCCAGTGTGGTTGTGACAGTTGTAGTCCCAAATGTATAGAGAGACCTGGGCTGAGGAAGGCTTAACCTGTGTAGAAGACGCTCAGAGGTGAGCTCCTTCAGCTGGTCCCCCACGTGGCTGAGGACACCCCTGCCAGGCCCTGCCATGGCCGGAACGTCACGACTTACCAATTGCCCACGGTTTGTCCTCCCCTGGGCCAAGGCGGCACGGGTCCTTGTAGCGGGTGAACAAGGAGTGCTGCTGTTCCAGCTTGTCATCTGTGGTGAGAAGAGAGAGCACCATGAAGAGGTCAGGCATGCGAAAAGGCGTGGCAACGGGGGACCAAGAGTCCTGCGTGGGCGTTTGCTCTTGGACCTGGACATTTAACATCAGTGCCACCAAGGGCTGGCAAACCTTTTCTGTCCCTCCCAAGAGAGCTAGATGCTGCGATCTCTCCCCAGGGTGGGCTGTGATGTTTCCTTAATGGTATCACGTATGGCAGGGCTGGGTGGAGTAACCGCCTTCAGAGTAACCCTGTGCAGCCTTACTTCGGATCAGGAGCAGCTCGCACCAGGAGGGAGGGATTAAACTGCTCCTGCTGGCAACCCGGTTCTCCATTCCCTTCCAACTGGCATCTGTGTGTGTGTGTGCGCACGCACGCGTGTGAAGGGGTGGTTAAAAACCAAAGGGAAAAACCCCACGCTGACCCCAGTGCAGAATTTTGCCTGATTTTAAACTCTCCTTTTCGGGAAAAGAAAGGCGGACACCCCTCAGTCTTGGTCCACGCACATTTATATTAAACGAAACAAAACTCTCCAGCTCAGCTTCACACAATCAATGTAACATGCAGTTTGATCTGCAGACAGGTACCTTTGGAGACCAGATGTGGCCAGGAGAAGAGGGTTCCATTTTTCTTCTTCAGGTGTAAAAATATTTTGAACCCTTTTACACTCATTCCTAAGTTTGGGACCACTATTTATACACTCGAGCTTTCAGTGCCAATCAGCTATAAATCAAATCCTGTGCAAATACTTGGGACTGGTTGACACCTTCTCATGCTTTTCCTCCATAAAGTCTGATGAAATGTCAGAATTCATTTGAATTCAGGGGACCCCTCCCCAGTGGCTGCCGCAGAAGCGAAGCACTGTCATTTGTCATAAAATCACACAGCTGGAATAGGCCTAGAGGACCATTGGACCCAACCGCCTGCTCAATGAAGGAGGCAAGTCCCCCATCCAGATTCTAACCAAGCCTGACCCTGCTTAGTTTCCAAGATTAGGCAGCATCAAGCGCTTCAGGCCACACAGAAGGACAATCCTTGATCTCAAGGCAAGAGAAAGGGATTTAAAAAAGATATGGGTGGAGCAAAAAGGACCCCAGCTGCCCTAATGCTAAACATAAATAAGTGAAGTAAAATATTTTGTCATTTTATAAAACTTTAGAATTTTTATTTTTATAATTTTAATTTTACAATTAACAACTAATAAATAATTGCCACTTAACTATTTAATTAAATAAATTAGTAATAATCATTCATTAAAACTTGTAAAATTTAATTTTATCTAATTTAATAAAAATATTTTATAAAATAAAATAGGAATTGAGAGGCTATGCTGATAAGGTTCCCTTGCACTCCTGTTTCTCCCATCCTCCTTTATAGCAGAAAGGAGTTCCCACTTGGTCATCCCATGTGACCTGCCAGGTTGTGCAGGGCAGGGGTTTCTGGACAATGAACGCAGGAGTTTTGCCATGTGCCTGCATTGTACACTTTCCTGCTCTTTATTTCTCCAGGCTTTTTCAGTTCTTGTGTTCTTAGGTCATGGTCACGGCACTCTGGTTTTATCCCTTTTTAACCCTATAATTTAATACTATGCTTTGTTATGGTACCGTATTTTAGGTCTTTAAGCTTTTGCTTGTGAACTGCCCCAGAGAGCTGCAGCCAATGGACAGCACAAATAAATTAATGATGAACAAAATAAAGACAAACTGTTACACATCCATGGCAGGAGTCAGCAAACGGGGCTTTGTGAGCAACATTCTGCCAGAAGTAGCTCCAGGAGCCATTTGCACCTCTCCTGGAGTGTGCATGGCGTAGCGATGGCACCATGGCGCACCTGAGGAGCAATTGTCGAAGTTGAGATCGCCGCAGAGTATGTCAAAAGCTACCAGCTCCTCTGGATTGGCTGTGCTGGAGGAGGAGGTAGATTTTCTGAAATCAGCCAGCCAATCCTGAAGCAGATCCAGTTGTTCGCATCGAATAGTAGTGTCTCCTGCAGGAAACAAAACGCAAGGATATGGGAACAACATCAAGCAATTCTTGCAAAGCAGATTATCATGCAATTAATTCTCCATTGCATTTGAGAGCAAGATCGAGAGAGAAATACAAGTCAGCCTCTTTCACCCTGGTGATCTTCAGACGGGTTGGACCGGGATAGGTCTGATAGTTTTCCAATACATCTGGAGGAGAACCAACTAGGGAAGGCCAGGATAAGGACCCTGTTGGGTGGAAGCCAAAACACTTGCAGGACAAGCCAAAGGGCAAGCCCGATATTTTAGAGCAATATTTCAGCTGAAGGGGAAATACAACTGCAAAGCACATTCTTTTATCAGCCCTACTTGGCAAGAAGAACAGATGTGTTCGTAAGAGGTGAGCAGACAAGGTATTCTTGAAAATGCCAGGAGGAAAGCAGTCCTATATATTGGGTAGTGGTGATGTCTGAGGTATTTCCTATACAGATGCAAAAAAAGCTCATGAAATCTTAGGCAGACAGGAAGAGGCGCAATGCAATGAGAAGAACTATACAAAACCTAAACAACAGGCTTTAGAACATGTTGAAGGTATTAGAAATGACCATTTCATAGGTGCCAGATATACTCCTTAGTAATCTCCTTGATTCAATTTGTGCCTGCGTGGAAGTATTGAAAGGCAGCAGAGTTTATATCAATCCATCCGTCTCACTATCTAGCTTGCTACTGTCCATCTCATCTCCTGCAGGCTGATGTCCTCCACCTTTGTGGCTAGGAAATGCTGGGCACCAGCTAGAAAAGGCCTGCATTGATTGACAGCAGCTTTCCAGAATTCCAGAAAATGATCTAAGACCAACTGGGAAAGTCCTGCATGTATATGTTTACAGACATATAGCTGCGTGTTTTAGAATTGTTTTGTAAAATGCCCATTATAGAAAGCAAATAAATAACAATAAACTAATCGGAATAACTTAAATGGCTTGAATAGCCACACATGCTGATTCATTCTTAGATTAGCTTTGTAGTCCACCCTTGCATTGCAGAAGACACACGCAACAATTCAGTAAAACATTTGTAGCAGTGGAATATGGACTCTTGCCTGAAATTGAGCAGCTGAGTCCATCCACTCCATTAGTTGCTAGCATTTAAAGGATGGGGGCAAGCATAAATCATTTCTCACTTCTGAACCACCCTGGCTGCAATCCCATGGCCTTTAAAGAGAGTCTAGGTGGTCTTAGGAGAGGCCACAGCACCATCTCCAGAGTGTGGTCTGAAGTTGTGTAAGGCATCTACCATGTTGAAGCTAAGCAGGCCTGGGGCTGGCCTGAGCTTGGAGGGGAGACCACCAGGGAACCGCATGTTGCCACCTTGAGTCCCACCCTGGGAGAACTCTGAATGTCGGGGAATTAAGGTTAAATTGCATTAAATGGTGGCAGTGCGTTTATCTATTTTTAATAATTTTTCAAACAGGATTGCTGATTCAGGAATGTTCAGGTTTTTTTGAGGTACACTTCTCTTTGTGACTTTGAATGGGGCAGGTTCAGATACTTTGCAAAACACTGAAACAAAATTATCGTTCATCCCTAATCACCAGGTACAAATCCATCAAAAAGTTTCCTCTAGACCAGGGGTTTCAACCTTGTGGCCCGCAGGCCAGTTGCCGGGACGGGTGGGGCATGGGGTTGGGGCCCTGCGGCCTTCAAAGTGTCGGCGGCGCCCGGGCCGATTGCGGGATGAGCGGCCCACCACCACCGCGGGGGTGGCATACTTGATGCGGCCCGGCCTCGCCCAGACTCTACTTCCAGCGGCCTCCAGGTACGTTGAGTTTGAGATCCCTGCTCTAGACATCTCACCTGAACTTTGAGCCGTGTGTGTGTGTGTGTGTGTGTGTGTGTGTAGAACAGGTGGAGTGGGGTCTAAGAAAGAATTTGTAATAAGTTAAAAGCGTTTCCTTGCTTCGTTGGCTGGAGGACGGGGGTGGTAGCTGCCTTTAACCACAGGAGTATCAACACATCACTTGTAAGGACACAGTTCCCTCCTGCCACTGGTGTGGGTGTGTGCATGATGCCTTGTGTGTTTCCTGATTGTATGAATGACTGTGCTCAGACTCCTGAAAACACCCTGCAAAAACTGGGTTGCAGGGGGTGGGGGTGCTATATATAAACTCTATCAACACAGTCTCCTTCACAAACATGGCCACATGGAAACAGAGTGAATGCGGGGGGAAACAGGTCATGACCCACCTCTGCATGGCACCCCCTCACGTACCTGTATGTCGCTAAAGGTCCCCTTGGAGTCTCCTCCCCTCCAGGCTGAAGAGACCCAGCTCCCTCCGTCTCTCCTCATATGGCTTCCCCTGCAAACCGGCCACCATCCTAGTGGCCCTTCTCTGCACTGATTCCAACCTTGCTATTTCTCTCCTGTAACGAGGTGCCCAGAACTGAACATAAGACTCCAGCTGGGGGCACACCAACATTTCAATGTAATACCGAGTTTTCCAATACGAGACAACATCCCTTTGTTCTAGCAACAGGACTCGGTTAATCAACCATACCCCGCTTTCTGTGCTCTTTTTCTACTGCAACTTGGCTAAGGAAGCTTCTGATACTCAGTTTTCCAGAGGAACAAACTGAGTCAGGAGAAGATTGATTTCTTAAAGATATTGAGCAAATCTATGACTGAGGGAAAGGATGAAGCGAGAGCTGCCCAAGACAGCACAGCACAGCTAAAGCCTTCCTGGGCCTGAATATCCGTCGTCCAGCCATCTGTTTGCAGCAGCAGCTGTTCAGATGCCCATCTGTTTTCCCCACCTCACTGATCCCAGAAGCAAACTGCCTTTAAACAGGGAGTTCCATTTAGTTCTCGTTACCAAAAATCATTGAACGCCTCATCCCTCAAGAGAGTGCCTAATCTTTTCCCCAGCTTCAGGGGTTCATGACGGTTATTTTGCTGCCTCAACTGAGCCAGAAACCGGAGGAGCTGTTTGCTCAGATAACCCAAGAGGTGCACTGAAGCAGGGTCAAGTGGAGGAAAAGAAGCGGAAAGGGGGCAAAAAGTTGTCCAGAATGACTAATCCGCAACCCAGGTTTGTTGCCGTGCCAAAACTCACGCAGGAGCTGACTAATCCAGGTGTGATGAGAAGAGCCTGGATAGCCCATTTGGTAGGTGGCTGGTGGGCAGCCCAGGCAGCCCCCTGCAAAGGCCCCTCCAGGCCTCATCTGTGGGGACAGAAGCCAGAGCCGAGGGGTCCGCACCTTCCCATGGCCCCCGGCTGTTGCAAGGCCCAGACAGCCTCTCTGAGGGCGTCTTCCGTCAGGCAGACTTGAATGGATGGCCAGGCAGCTTCAGTGCGTGTGTTGCGGGACGGAGTAGAGGGAGAAAGCCTTGTTTCTCCACACAGTTCCCACACCACTCCCAATCTTATAAAACTCTGCCAATTACCCCCAATCCTTTTTCTGTCGATCCTTTTTCTAAAGCATTATAAAACCAGAACAGACATACCCCCCCCCCCACTTTCCTGTCCAGGTCAGTTTCCCAGGTATTCAGTCATAATTCCACCCTGTCCTATTTCTGCATCAGTCTCTGGGTGGTGACGGTACAGCATACTTATTTTTGTACAGAATTTCCCCCACCCATTCGGGGCACAAACACGTGCATTTTATATGCCACTTTGCCCAATATGCACATTTGGAAAAGCCATTCGTGGGCTAAGCATGGCAGCACAGCATTTGGAGAAGAGCACAGCAAAAGGGCAGTGATGTTAGAAGACCCTTATCGTGCCAGGAAGCGTAAGATAGGCCAGATTGCATAAAATTCTCCAACATCCCGTTCTTTACACCAGCATAAAAGCTGCAGCTGAGTGAATTTCCATATTTCAGGGGTCTCCAATGATTAGGGGTCAGTGGCAAGGTCAGCTTCAAATTCTAGGTAGTTCTCAGTGCAAGAGACTCTCAGTAGCCCTCCTTGCTCAGAAAGGCTACCTTTTCTAAAATACGATCCATGGGACCTTGAGCAAAAATGCCACGATAAATTAGAACACCCCTTTCCACCCAATCAGTGTCAATGGACATCTATTTTGGTAGGGGCAGTAAATCTCAGGGGACGTTTAATCCAGCAAAAATGGTTAGTTCAAGTACATTGGATGCCGCAGTGTCTTTCCAATAAGGGCTTAATTAGATCTGCCAATTGTCCAGGCACAATGCTTCTCTTATATGTTTTGGCAGGACCCTTTTGGGAGGATCTCAAAATTCAGATAATTTTTTGATTTGTTAGTATTTACCCATATGTGTGCTCTTCTTAACTGTGGGCGTGCCTCTCTGAGCTTGATGTGAATGTAACTTTTTGAAGAACAAGGCACAGCCGGGGAGCTGAGCTGAGCTTTGAACCGCAACACCTCTCTTCTGAACCCATGTATAGACGGTTCTGGAGGGCAGCATGCCTGCCCCCAACTAAGAAACACATGTCTTTGAACATCTCAAGAGCCTGGAAGGTGCCAAGAAAGGTGTTTCTGGACCCTCTGGGGTCCTTGGGCACCACCCTGGAGACCCTGGATGCATCTGATTCTGAGATGGACCAGATACAACGGAATGCAGCCTCCTTTGGGCAGAAAGCAGGGCATTTTCCAGCTTCTCGAGGCAACGGCTTGCTCAGTGCCAGAGAAAGAAACTGCTCCTGCAAGAGCAGAAAGGGCTGGGGAGAGAAGTCCTTCGGGCCTGAATGGCACATCAGCGCCAGCACTTGAGGATGGCAGCTTTTGAAAGCAGGCGGGAGGGAAGGAGGGCAGACCACCACATGGATGTGCTTGTCTCGGCAAGCCCAGGAGTCATCCTCCCAGGTCTCTGCACACAGCCAGTTTTGCATCACTGGCCCCGTTTGATTTATTTCAGGTCCGAGACAGGAGCTCCCAACAGCCTTGCCAGACATCCTCAATTCATCCATCACCCCCAGAGTTCGGCTGTCTGGCTTCAAAGAGAATTCTGAGTTGGCCTGGAAATCTTTCTTGCGGATCCCCCTAATTGCCAGC